TAATGACCAGGTCTTGAAGAACCACAGTAAATAAATGCTTTCCATGATTGAGTGCACAGAGGTAGGAGGGTGGGAAGATAACTTTCCTGCCATAATAATGAATTAAGACCAGGGGTGGGATACGACAGGGTTAACTACCGGTTCGGGATTTACGAGCTTCCCTGCACGCTAGAGCCGCACACCTGTAAATAGTCATCAGCAGCTGCCTGCAGAGAAGCAGTCTTTGAAACAGCCCTCTTTTCCTGTTTTTTTAACTGCAGCTGTGCCTCGTTCGGCAGCTGAAGTTGAAAAATCAGGAAATAAAGATCAGGTAAGAGCCCGGGTGGGTGGGTCAGCAAAAACATCAGCAGACATAGAACCGGTTCTATGTCTGCTGCTCTTCAGAGCTACCGGTTCTACAGAGGTGGACAGAACTGGTAGAACCCCACCCCTGATTAAGACTACATGTGTATGACCTTCAGTGAATTTGTAGCACAGATTTCTATTGATTGCTATTCTTCTCCAGAATGCTTTTCAGTAATTCTATTTCTACCACTCTTTTTCTTCCTCTTCCTCTCTCACTTTCTGCCCATATCTTTTCTTCATCACCCCCACTTCATTTTGTCTTTTCACCCCTTTCTCCCTCCCTTGTACTACATCATCCAGAAATAATACATACATTCTTTTGATGCTTCAGGCTGAAATTTTTGCCTGCCACGCTTCTCCATGACAACCTGCAGGGAAGGTTAATTGATTTGGGGAAAGTGTGCGTTTCCTTCATACTGACGGAAAGGACTGACTGGAACATGCTAACCCTTACCATATTGTACTTACCAAGACTAACCAGCAATCAGTGTGGCTCTCAGCATATGGAATTGCTGGTGCCATTTCTCCACACCCCTCCATTGTCGTCTCCCCTATTTCTTCCCATCATTTCCTCCCCTGTTGCTCACAATCACTCCTACAGAATTACAAAAAGGACAGAATCCAATGTATGTTCATAAAGGTTCAACTTTCTGCCTCTATTTGCTCCTCTTCTGGTAGCTTTCTGGTTTTTCAGTTCCAATGCATTTAATAGATTCAGTCTTTTTCCACAAGCTGAAGAACTCAGGAAAGGAAACTGAAGGAATCGTGCCATTACTCCTCCTTCCTTGTTTACATTAGTATCACATTAAAATGCAGAGTATGGTGTTAAATTCTGATTTCCACTACAGCCTGCATATAGATTACCATTAGTTAAGGCATGTGCAGAAGTCTGATTCTTTAACTGCACATATAGTGAGGTCCCAAGTACCTCCCAGCATGCAAATGTACAATGAAATTCATGCATGTATAAGTCCAACTTGATTCCTGCTCACATGTTCTTTTCCTGATGGCATTTTTGCAACAGGTATAGCAGAGGTGGTATCCAGCAGGTTCTGACCAGTTCTGGAGAACCAGCAGGGAAAAGTTTGAGTAGTTCGGAGAACCTGCAAATACCACCTCTGACTGGCCCTGCCCCCATCTATTCTCTGCCTCCTGAGTCCCAGCTGATTGGCTGGGTCTTCTTTTGTTGCCCTGCACAGGAGAACAGAGCTGGAAATCAGGTTGGTGGGATGGGGAGGGAACGGGATTTTGCAGTAACCTTCCCCTGCTACGCCCACCAAGCCATGCCTACCAAGCTACACCCACAGAACTGGTAGTAAAAAAAATCGAATCCCAGCACTGAAGTATAGGGGATTTTTAATCAGCTCAAATAGATGGAGGTAAAGAAAGTTGTTTTAATTGCCCATCTGAAGCACTGTATCTTGTTGTCTAATTTAAGCTCAGTCTAATATAGCCAAGAGGGCCTCAGTTATGTTAGAAATATTCAATTTTTCATGTGTTCTCTAAGGCACATGAAGAAATCATGCTTGGTAAGCCTGTGCATTTGACACAGCTGGTCTATGATGATTGTTTGTGGGATTTCATTTTCATTGGTACCTTAAGATGGATTAATTTGAAAGTTATAACAACTTTTATTTTCCAGAAACATATTTCTTTCCAGAAGGAAAGCTTGTAGGAGTAGATGCTTTTCATTACTATTTTTGTGTATTAGACCAGATTCAGCTCCCCAATAATAGAAATTGTTCATGCAGAAATCTTTAAGTCCTGTATGAAATCATGAAATTAAATTTAACATTGAAATTTAGAGATGTCCTCACGAAAAACTGTATTTATTGAATATAAGAGCTAGATTGCCATTTTCTTCATCACTACTCTGTAAATTGTATTTCAATAATTCTGCTTCTACACTGCCAACTCAAAACATATTTGCAAGACCAATGTTTCCATCCAAGTTCATCATAAAAGAATTGAATTCTGACCTGTAATTAACTTCACCTTTTCAACAAATGCAGAGAAGACTCTGAGAACATCATATGCCAATTTATGCTCACTCCCCAGCCAACCAAATAGGAAAGATCAAAGCATGTCATTCTATCATAGTTCGGCAATCACCCACTGTGAAATAACAAATACTACCAGTTCTCATATTCTCCATAGAAAAATGAAATTAAATGAATTAATAATGTCTCTTTCTTGTCCCTACATTTCAGAACTCATCGGGGGGGGGGGGGTATTTGCCTGGTGACTTGCAGGAAGATCTGCTGAAAAAAATGTCACCCAAAAAAGTGAAATTCTTGAGGAGTTTTTCCACACTATTATTGCTGCCCATCTCCAAAAGAGAGCCAGTCTGTCATAGTGGTTAAGGCACTAAGCTAGAAACTAGGAGACCATGGGTTCTAGTCCTTCTTTAGGCAGGAAGCCAGCTGGGTTATCATGAGTCAATGACTTATTAGAGAAAATGGCAAAGCATTTCTGAAAAACCTTGCAAAGAAAAATGCAGGGACTAGTTCAGGTAGTTGATAGGAATCAAATACTGACTTGAAGGCAACCATTATTAAATATATACAAACTAGATTCATACCAATCCTGTAGTCCTCAGATTTCAAAGTCATTGGTCAGCTAGAGAGTACATTGATCAGTCAGATATAAAAATGAATTCAAGTCAGTGTTCCTTCTTCTTCTTGTCTATCATTTTGTTTGGTGCTTAAATTATCAGAGCTTTCACAATCAGGGTTGACTGCAAAATTGTCAAGGCACCACTCCACTAAAGTACAGTTCATCTGGTCAATTTATTAAAACAGCAGAAATGGTAGCATGGATGTAAGGCAACTAGACCTCTACTGGGAATTCTAAAAAACTTTTAAAATATAACGAAAATAATATTTTCTCCATGTTCTAGCTCTCCCTCTTAAGGTTTTTCCAAAAAGGCTGTTGATGGTAGTATGAATGACAGCATGCCTCTGTATACATAGGTCATCATTTCTCAAAATGATGGTTGTGAGACAATTAATTAACAATCGTTCAAGAGTTCCTTCCAAACAAATGTTTCCAAACAGGCTTGCCAATTTGATGCAGAAGCATGCTGAATGCAAAGCATGGTGATAATTCTGGAACTTTGTATGATGAAGCTTCTGTGTTCCTACTGCATTCCTACTATGGTGTTTACCATTCAAAAGAAGAATAATTATGACAGGAGAGAATGAGGATTCTGCACAAAACTCTGATTTTCCCTCTTTAGGAGGAATGTACCATGGAGGGAAAGGGGGGAAGGTTGTGAGGGAGCAGAGAAGGAAGTTGCAGGAGTGGAGGAGGGATTTACAGACTGTAGGACTGAAGGGAACCAGTAGTTGGGCTGTGACCTTTACCTCAGTGGGACTGTGCTGAGAGACACAGGGTCAAAAGCCATTTACAACCTGCTGGGGGTTTTGCAAGCTGCAGTATTTTAAGAAGAGTTAAAGAGAATCCTACACAAGGCAAGAAAATGTTTTTTCTCTTCTCCCCCCCTCATGTCAAAGACATAATTCATCACAGTCTCTTAATTGTAAATAGATGAATTAATAAGGTTCGACCTCATCTCTCTATATAATACTATTTATATTGCATTTTTAAAGTTTTGTTGATATTAACAATTCTATATTCCATATCTCTCTCCGGCTTTTCTATTCAATAGAAAACCCATATTTTTTCTCCACAGAGACCAATGTTCTGATTTTTCCCCTTTATGGAAAAAAAAGGTTTTGATAGCAGATTTCAAACAGTTTTTTTTATATGAATGCTTATTCACCTAATATGTGGGTTGAGATATTTTATCTATCTTTTTATTTGTTTTTCAAGTTTGTACCTTATGTCATCCCCAGCAATGCCAGCCTATAGCAGTTGGACAATAATAAAACTATATCATATCACTATTAAAAATGCCTTAAATGTGGTTCAGCTTCTAAAATTAATTTTTCAAATTAGGTTTAAAATAATCAAAGTGGATAAATACTATAAGTTGTTAGTTTTAAAATACTTTTAATGGGACCCTTTAGCTACATTTTTTAAACCCAAGACAAAAAGTATAATGCATATAAATCACAATGATATAACTTAGAGGCAGACCTTATGTAATTGGCACTAGTTTTATGATGAAGTCCAAGCAGTTTCAGTGCAGGTACAATTTGATTTGGATCTAATGCAGTAGAAACATGTGAAGCTGCCAGTTTATAGACTGTGCTGGAGATGAGCTGAAACAGGCCAGGCTTCCAGGTTTAGTGATAATGAGATTAAATTGAGCTATGAGTTAAAGGTGGAACTGTTAGATTGACTGAATAAACATTTTGACAAAATTGATTGCTTAGGCAGGCTTCTTCAACATGTGTCTGCTGGACTGCAATAATTATATTTTTCAGCTGACAAAAGTGTATTCAAGTTATAGTTCAGCACATCTGGATTACTTCAGCTAGAAGAAAAGTGGCTTTGGGCATTTGAGGAATCTGCTGTTTCTCAATCTGAAAGCTGCTGAAAATTGTCAAATGAATAAATCCTCAAAAGATACGCTGGTGTGAGCTTGCTGTACAAATAATGCTATGATATACACATATTGTTATATTTCCTGTTTCTGGATGAATGCATGTTATGCGTTGTTAGTTTTAGTCTCCTTCTGCTTCCTGCAGGAATATCTCAATGTCCTGGGAAGGCCCATGGTCTTGGCCGGAAACAAAGCGAAGCAGGTTCAATGGACTAATGTCTATCAGGATGCTTTAGTAAGGAAAACAGCTTTATGAAATATCACAACTAGGTTTTTTTTCCAGTTCCATTTGCTTATGTGATTCATACATTGTAATGTGGTTCAAATTGGTAAATACATTTAGTGTTCCATATCCCTTTAGATTCTCAAACCTGTTAATCTTGAGTGGTTTCTTTTCCTCATTTTCTTCCCAAAGTCTAACTGCTCCACTCTTCAATTTTATGAGTTAGAGACAGGGATGGGATTCTACCAGTTCGCACTATTCTGTAGAACCGGTTGTTAACATTCTAAGCAGTTTGGAGAACCGGTTGTTAGAAGAAATTACTGGCCTAATCCTGTAAGGAGGGCAGGAAGGAAACATTCTGGTGTTGCTTACAGAAACTGCCTCTCCATTAACCCTTATTACATTCTTGGCAGGACTAGACTTCCTGTCTCTGGAACTTCTCTGGAGTTTTTTTCCCCTCTTTTGCTGGTACTTTGCTTGTGTGGAGTGACCATTTAAAGTTACAATGGCACTGAAAAAAGTGGCTTATGACCATTTTTCACACTTACGACTGTTGCAGCATCCCTACAGTCATGAGAGGCGAGGCAAGGAGATGCGTGCCTCAATGTGAGTGATATTGAGTTGGCCACGCCCAGCCAATAACATGACCACCAAGCCATGTCCACCCAGTCTCATGACCACCAAACCACACCCACCAACTAAGCCATGCCCACAGAACCGGTTGTTAAAAAATTTGAATCCCACCACTGGTTAGAGATGCTGGTAATTCTGACTTGGCCAGTTAGGGTCTTACAAATAATGCCATATTTTACTCTTCTTGTTGTTGTTGTTAACTTTTTAGGCCCTGGGTTTAGTGGTAACAGGCACTCTGCCTGTATTTAACCTCACTGATGATGGTCAGTCTCACGGGAGCAGTGAATGGAAGGTATGTTCCTATTTTGCAAGAAGCTGCCACCAAAATCATATTGGGTGGTGGTTGTTATGTCCTCATCCCCTTTGCTTTGTACAACTGCTCCACAGAGAATCCACAGTATTCCTTGATTTATTCCTTGATTTTTAGTCAAGTAGCATCCTCAACTGAAAATCATCTTTTCCTGAAATTGATTCTAAATTGTTATCAGATCTTCTTGATGTGAGATGGATGGATGGACAGACAAAGAATAAGATGCTAAATAGATACAACAGCCTTTCCCGATGGGTTGCCTACCAGATATAACTGAGAATACTGGGGATCATCTGTGCTATGATCCCCAGAATTCTGTTATATCTGGTAGGCAGATGGAGGGCACCAGGTTGGAGAAGTCTGGCATCCCTTGGAAGAGAATCTTCTAAAACTATAGCAATATTACAGAAAGCAAGTAATGATGTGTTAAAAATACACTTGGACCCAAATTAATTATGGGATATGTAAAACTAAGGCCTCATCAGGGATGGTCAACATGTGACTATGTTATCAGATGGCAATTCCTGTTGTTGTTTATCAATGTGTAAGGCAAATAAGGCCCTTTCCTGAATATGAAGGCTATCCACTTGGTCCCTCATGCCCTGATCAGCTCTCATTTGGACTATTGCAACATGCTGTATATGGAGCTACCCTTGAAAAGTATCCAGAAGCTTCACCTATTACAAAATGCAGCCACATGGGCAATTTTAGTCATCTAAATTTTAGTCATCTAAAGAAGGACACATTTCAGTTTGCTTCTGGCTTCAGTTCAAAGGGTTGGTTATGAACTATAAAACCCTACCTATCATGGGACCAGGCTACCTACAAAGCCATTTTTGCCCCATTGGCCCATCCCACCCAGTCAGGCAGGGAAGGTAAGTTTTAGACACCATCTGTTAAAGAACTCCAGTTGACAGGCCTAGGAAGTGAACCTTCTCTGCTGTTGCCCCCACCCTGTGGAATATTCTCCCCCCCCGCAAGATGAGATGTCCCCCATTCTCCTATTCTCCCTCCCCCAAGATAAGATGGCCCCCATTCTCCTAGTCTTCCCAAAATGAGTCAAAACCTGGCTCTGCGGCCTCTCATGGGGAGCCCAAAGGAGCATGCAATAATAACAAATAATATTATTGCTAATTATATTAATGCAGCATCAACAAATGCAGTGGCTATATATTCTATCACCTTATACTGCAAGGCGAACAAGTGCCACTAAGTAGATCACACATTTCTTTTTCTCCCCAGTGGGTAGATTCACAGCATGTCTACAGCAATCTGTCTCATCTGCCTTATGCTCCTACATCTCTACTTGTTTAGATTTATTAGCAGCAATAGATCTGCCATGGGATTCTATGTCAGCTTGCTTTTAAGCAGGCAATGATCTGTTTCCCAACTAGGTAAGTGACAAGGCCAAAGACCAAGCCATTTATTCTCCCGGGAGCCTGGTTATGGCCTCATAAAGCAGCATGGCAGCTCCATTGAAATGAGCATCCCATGCTGCGCAATTTAGTCATTATACGGTGGCTTCTTACAGGTGTCTCTTTTAAGGGGGAAAAATGTGCTTTTCTTTAGAAGAACCCAATAAAGGCCGGCTATGCATTTTCATCAGTCATTGGAAAGAGCCTGGTTTCTCCAGTACTATGGTATGGCTCCCAGGATTAACATGTTTTATGCCATAACTCAGAAGACCTAAGTTCAAGATGTCCGGTCCTCTTGAAGAACGGTGCTGAGAATCAGATATTCGTTTAGAATTTGAGCTACAAACCAGGCCAAACCTGGCTACTTATATCACTTAAAGGGCGAACAGTGCAAGTAAGAAATTTATTTCCAGGCTTCATTTTTCTCTGGCTCTGCCTTACAAGCCTCTGATGAAGGATATTGATAATTAGATATTTCCATCAACATTCTTATAGGAAAGGACTGCAACAATCTTCCCCAGCTTTTTCAGGCATATAGTATTCCAGACCTCTTTCTTTTTTCCACAATGTAACCTTAAAAGAGAGGGAATAAAATATAAATGTATTTATAACTGCTGTAAATATTGGAATCCATTTATTTATCTTATCTCTTTCTTTTCTATCTTTTATTTTATTTCTGCCTTTACTTAACACCTTTCTTTTACCTCTTTTACTTTTCTTTTCTTTAAATTTATGTTGTTTCTATTCACTAAAATTAATTTTTAAAAGGATCTATCACCTTCTTCACTTCATACACATAATGGAATTTTTAATTTTAATGTTTTAGTTTAGTATTGTATCAAGAATTTGAAATAACCAGCATACATAACAACAAGGGAAAGGTCCCAATCAACAGCTGATAATTCCATAATCAATTATTTTGAGAGCAGGATCTTCACTAGTACTGTTGGAAAAGTAAGCCAATTTATATACATAGTCCAAGAGAGATTTCATCCGGACTAGTGCAGAGCAACAGTAGTTGTGATAACTTAGCCATAACAACCATCCTATATTATTCTAAATGGAATGGAAAAGATGTAAACCAGGGGTCTTCAAACTTGACAGCTTTAAGACTTGTGGACTTCAACTCCCAGAATTCCTCCTCCAGTCATGTTAGCTCAGGAATTCTGGGAGTTGAAATCCACAAGTCTTAAACTAGCCGAGTTTGAAGACCCTCGATGTAAATCATAGAGCCAAAATGCACCACTTCTTCAGTTTGACCACAGCACAAAAGACAATGAATTTCCTTATTTCTGTATGAGGCTGACCAAAAATATAGTACATCTGCACTTTGGAGAGGTGTGGGAGCAGGGAATGTTGCCACTAGCCTTCTTTTATTATTCTTTTACAATTTCCTTTCACCGCTTCATAGTGCTTTTACATCCCTCTCTAAGTAGTTTACAGAATCAGCATATTGTCTTCCAAAATCTGGGCCTTCATTTTAGCGACCTTGGAAGGATGGAAGGCTGAGTTAACCTTGAGCTGGTCAAGATTGAACTCCTGGCTGTGGGCAGAGTTAACATGCAATACTGCTTTCTAACAACTGCACCACCATGACTCCTTACAACAAATATGAGAAAGCTCATTCATGGTGGTGCAAATATGGTTGATAAATCCTAGGCTTCACTTTGGTGCTCTGTGTCCTCCAACTCTCTATTCAGCATTAAAACTGACAGACACTCCTATTGTGATATTTTACACTTTCTCTTGCTATAAGAAGGGGTTTTGGAAATTTATTCTTTCACAGCTTACAGCTCACCTTCCATCCAGCCCCCTTCAGGAAATTAACACATCTTCTCCCAAATATTAGAGCAAAATTCATATTGTGAAAACATATTGATCTTTCCATTCATTTCTCATGTATAATTACATACTGTCTACCTATCATTTTTGAACAGTTCAATTGTAAAATGTAAAAGTATATGTGTTGTATACTAACTAAATCAATAAATTCTGTGGGCATGACATACTCTATCCTCTTTCTCCAAATCAGTGAGCTCCAGGTAAATTAAAATTGCTGGAATTCCCTGTCAGGACTGCTCAAAGAGTGGTGAGGGTTACCTTGGACATAAACAGTAGAAATCAATAGAGTCTACATCCCGACTTGCCCAATTTCAGATAACAGAATAATGAATGATGTAATGAATGAAACTGTCATTGTTATTTATATATTTTCAGAACCAGCTCATCCTGGGTGTTGTGGGGATTGATGTGGCTCTAAATGATATCAAGAAGCTGACACCGCGATACAATGTGAGTAGGGAAGGTGTTGTCTCCCTCAAACTCTGTTATTTAAAAAAGCAAGCGGGATAGGAAGAGAGGTGTTAGTTTTCCTAGGAGTGCCCTCCTTAAATTCTCTACTTTACCCCCAAACCACCTTTCATCTTTTGGAGGATGATCACTGAGGCAAACTGAAATCTTCTCCTTTAATTTAGAAAATGTGATGGACCTTTACTCTCTGCTAGGGTTGGGTATTGGACAAGCAGGAGGTGGTTGACACAGTATCATGGTAAAGGAGCTTTGATGCAACTCCATTCTGTCTTTTTGAGATGTAATCTGTTTCTCTTCAGGAGGATTTTCCTTTGTTTTTTGTCTTTCCATCCAGTTGGGGGCTAATGGCTATGTATTTGCTATTGACTTGAATGGATATGTATTGCTACATCCAAACCTGCGACCTCTGGTAAGGACAAGTTTGTGCATACTGAATGCATATTCAAAATCATTGCAAAACAAAAATGTACTCGTTTACTCCATCGTGTTAGCAGCAACCATAAAATAGACAATTTTTGCTCTTTCTCCATTTTTTTTATCATGATGAACTCTTCCATTTTTTCCCCCCAAACTGACTGCAATAAGTTTGTCCCCTTTCATTTTTCCGGGAAAGATATTCTTGCTATTATGTGGATACTGAATATGTCTGTCCAAAGGTGAGTATCTCATACTGCCTGAATAGGAATTAATGAGTTGGGTGGAAATGTTAATGGTGGCAATTTGCCATTAGACTGAAAGCGTATGCAAACAGCTGTCACAATCAAGGGCACCACTCACACTTTAGCCACCTCCGAGTCACAGATTGATCACCATATGCCACCATCTGGCCAGAAAGTGAGCTTGGCAATTGAAAATATCAGTATTCCTGTTCTGTAGGATGTATAGTTGCATATACTTATTACTGACTAATAATCAAAGCTTGGCACCTATATTATATGTGGAATAAATTCTATTGCCCGAAACTTTTTAATGAATTAAACATCATATTCTTTCCCTTCGCTGTGACTTTGTGAACTCTCTCTTCATCCCTTCTTTTTCTTTCATTTTTTTGCTCCTTTGATGTTCATTCCTTTACATTCCTAGATCCTTGGGTTTCAACTTCCTGCAGGACTTTTTTTTCTCTAATCTAGTCAGGTGTGAAGCTTTTCTTCCAGAAAATTCATCTTTCCCTATGTCCACAATAGTAGAACAGACTTGCAAAGCCTGTCTCTAACCAGAGACGGCCAACAAAACACTTTTATTTGGTTGTATGGTTGCAAATATGGTTGCGAAGTTTTCATGCAACCTTGAAATCCACATATCATTGTCACTAAATCTGACAGCACAGTTTACTGCAAAAATTTAAAAAAGAAACAGTGGTGAATTTTTGCTTTTCACACTTTAAATCCTTTTACGAGGCTTAACATTTTCAGCACTTTAAAGTTTGTCAGCTTTCTTGGTTTATTGCTTAGCTACTTTCAAGGTGGGGGCTGGTTAGAGGGATATAGTTGTATTTAAAATATTTGCTTTGGCTCTTTTGATTTAGCTGTGTTCTTCTTGGGAGCCTCCCGCAATCATTTTGGCATAGCCCTCTGCATAAAGACAAAGTATAGTGTCATTGACTCAAAAAAAGATTTAACTATTACGTGCATTATATTGTCTATGAGCATAATAACTGGTGAGAGATTTTCAATGTTTACATTAGATTTGCAGCCAAAGATTTAACTAATTACATTAACATCAAAATATATAATTTATCCTTTAAAAAAAAGTGGGATTTTGAGGCTATAATCTTATGGATACTTCCCAGGGACTGAGCTCAATTTGTCTCTGCTGGATTAAATGTGAAGATATACATAAGATTGCATGATGATAGTATTTCCCTCAGCTAGTTGTCCCCTGAACACATTTGCTCATAGGTGTCAAATACAAGGTAGCCACCACAGCGTATGCTAAATATGGCAAATCTTGAAGGAATAGTTACATGTTGCAGGTAAACACACAGGGAGGACCTGCTTAATTTCCTCAGCAACAAAGTGAGAAAAGATAGCCAATTTGAGAATATACATAAGACAAAAACCAGCACAATATCTGCTTATCAACTAAGCCATAGCAGAATTACGTTGTTTAACTGGATTAGAAAACATAGAAGCCATCTCTGATTATGGAATCTTTGGTTAAAGTTCCATAATATGAATTTGATGTATAAATGACAAGAGCTACTGAACCTTCAGTTAGTCATTCCCTTTGACTTTATAGACATGGTTGTTCTAACTTAGTGGCATTGATGATGACTAAGGATGTTGGGCAGTGGGAAATTCAGATATTTGGGATTTAAATAATTGTTATGGCTGTAGGCTGGGATTTATTTACTGTGGGCAAAAATGCTCATTGCTTAAAGTGGAAGAGAAAATATGTTTCTGAGAGTCACAAAGCACCTATTGACTCATCTTGACAATATAATATATGTATTTCTCTTTCTTTCTTAGCAAGTATAGGAAAGAATTAACTAAACCTCCTTAATGAGATATTACTTGTTCAGGGGTATTAACCAAAAGAAAAGGAGTGGATGAAAGCCTTGGGCTTATTTATCTCAGGAGAAGTTCTGCATTCATCAGAATGAAGCAAAAAGAACAGGCTTCTAGCTCAAATACTAGTCAGATAAATCTGTCATTGAAAGGGCAGCCTGAAATTAAGGAACTGGAAAATGGCATTGATCAGAATGAGATACATTTCATTTGCAGAAATTTCCAGCTCAGTTTATCAGCCTTACTAATAGGCAGATGTGGCAGAGATGGACAGAAACCATTACAATTTATTTAGTCACTTCACTGTGACTCTGATCAATAACAGTTCAAATTACTCAGCATGGTAAAATCACCCAACGAACAGCCCAATTCCTTATGTTTTTTGTGTGTGTAGGTGTCTGGTTTAAATCCAAACAGCTTTTAATAGAAATGCCTTGTTTTAAGTAGTATCTTATTCTTTCAACTCGAGACAGAAGACATTATTTTGGCATATGAGTAGAATATATCTTTCCAGACAGTTGAGAATTTAACTAGTTTTGAGTGCTCCCAAATAACAATGACAAGCTCTTATTTTATTAATTAATTAATTAATTGATCCAATGGCATTCAGACTTACACTTGATGGTGTAGAGATTGAAAAGTGACTAGTAAAATTTTATCCTGGTAAATAATGTGGTAGAACTCTATCCTAATATCCACTGTTGATGTCCTGTTTCATTTTTGCATTAGTCCTACTTAGAAATCAGATTAGAATCAGAATATTTGGGACACTGAAACTTGGTTTGGAGCTTTCAAAGCAATAAAAGCAGTTTTTTCTTTGACATCTTGGTATTAAGTCCTATGTTAATATCTTTAATTCTTTTTGACAATTTTTTGCTATCTCTGTTCACTGATCATTTTCATTTATTCTAGGGCGTTTTATTTCCACCACATATCACATCTAACACACTCCACAGCTTTCAATTCCAATTTGTATATAAGATTCTATAAATCAATCTGTTCACTTTATCATACGCTTTTTATAAATCAATAGAAGTATAATATAAGGTCTCATATAATTCATGCATTTCTTAGTGACCTGCTGAAGAGTCAAATTGGTTCCTTTATCTTACCTATATTGTTGATACATTGTTTTAAAGTAAGGATACCTTGCCTTGTCTCTTAATCAATTTGAAGTGTCTTACAGAAAAATAATTAATTTTACAACTAAAGCATTCTTTCCAGTTACAGTTCCCCCTACATCTAACACTGAGATTCTTGTGTGTATATGGAAAAGTTATATTTACTCCCTACATATGCATTTTGTAGAAAATGTTTCAGTTGTGAATTGTCAGCATCTCTCATTACTGAACATCATAATTTATAGCAGCATTTGTACTATGTATACTCTAGGCCTGCCTTAGGCATGAAATTAGCTGAGTGATCTTGGGCCAGTCACTCTCTCAGCCCTAGGAAGGGGGCAATGGCAATCCACTTCTGAAAAACCTTGCCAAAAAACCTGCAGGGACTTATTCTGGCGGTCGCTAAGAGTCAACTTTGGATAGTGAGATGGGTGGCATATAAATTTAATAAATAAACAAACACTGACTTGACGGCAAAAATCTGTCAGGGCATAGAACAAGGATTGTTATGACACTCTGAAGATGAACAGGATGATAGTCTTGAATTCTCATCTCATTCATACTACCCATTACTTACTACTTTGGGGTTATTCTTTCAGATCATCAATTTTCAAGAAGCTGTAACCCTGGATTTCCTTGATGCTGAACTAGAGGATGAGAACAAAGAAAGGGTAAGCGATAACGATAGATCAGCTCTGCTTTATCTGAGGCAAATGCATACCCACAATAATTATATATTTATATATCATATGTATTAACATTTATATAATCTTTCTATCAAAGTAGCCTAAAACAACCCAAAAAACAAAATTATAAGTGCTCCAAAAACTATAAAAAATTACTTTTTAAAAAATGAAAAAAGATTCTTAATGGCGTAGCAATTTTTTCTCAATGCAAAATAGTAAGATTCTATAATTTTTACTTTTGCAAATCTGGGCATCAGATTTTTCCTTTGGCAAACTTAGTGCTAGGATTTTTGTAGTGCTGGTGATGGCAACTTGGAATAATTTCTTCATGTATACAGGAAGTCCTCGACTTATAACAGTTCATTTAGTGACCATTCAAAATTACAACAGCACTTAAAAGAGTGACTTATGACCGTTTTTCCCTACTGTTGCAGAACCCCCCTGGCCACGTAATCAAAATGCAGACACTTGGATACTGACTCATATTTATGATGGTTTCAGTGTCCCAGGGTCATGTGATCAGATTATTCAACCTTCTGACAAGTGGAGTCAATGGGAAAGTCAGATTCACTTAACAACCATGTTACTAGTTTAACAACTACAGTGATTCATTTAACAATCATGGCAGGAAAGTTTGTAAAATGGGGCCAAATTCACTTAAGAAATGTTTCCCTTAGCAACAGAAATGTTGGGCTCAATTGAGGTCATAAGTCAAAGATTACCTGTACTTGCATAATTATTTCTTATATTTCTATATAGTAAATTGCGTATGGGTGTGTATGTGCATTTATACCATAGTATGAATCATGCACGAATGCAAATCCTATCCTTTTGAGAGATTTTTTGGGGATTTGAACAGAAGAGTTTAAAAAGGTAAGTGCTACCCCTGATATGTATCCTGACCCAACTTCACAGCATTTTCTGTTCTCCCATCTTTAGATTCGCCGAAGCATGATAGATGGAAATAAAGATCAACAATATATTAAGACTCTGATAAAATCCCTTGATGAGGTAAATATTTGCCTCATTTGGCCATGTCTCTTAAGACCTGCTTTGTTCCCACACCTGGTGTTAAGGTATCTGTGGAGACCCTGTTGAGTCATTTATGAATATTGGGAGTGCTGTTTTAGTCTGGATAGTCATCAGTTTTTTTTAACTTATGTATTACACATGTTTTAAACTTCGCAGAGTCTTTCTAGATTTGGCCAGTTGTAACATTAAAATGCATTGTAAGTAGGGCCAGCTCAAAAGACTTTGAGCTCTTCAATACAAGATTAGTAGTTGGGATTGGTTAGATTAACTGGAATATATGCTTCACTAGTTATTTAACTTTATTGTGATATACATTGGTTTATTTACCATCTTTATTTGATAAAGAATGAAATGTGGCCAAAAATCTTTGAAATTAGCTAATGTTCTTCATAAATGTAATGAATAATATTTAGTCACTCATTCGTTTTGAATCTACAGAGGTATGTTGATAAAGTTCATAGAACCTACACTTGGGCACCTATCAAAAGTACAAACTACAGGTAAGGAAGTAGCCAAGAAAAACACTACTCCATCAGTGATGATTAAAAGAATATTAGGAAAGATACTCCTAAGAGAGTTTTTTAGAAGATAATGCAATTCTGTTGATTGAGAAAAGACACCAGAAATTCAATTTCTATTTCTCTCTCTATTTCTTTTTCTCCCTCCCTCTCTCTCTGTCTCTGTCTGTCACTCTCTCTCTCTCTCTCTCTCTCTCTCTCTCTCTCCTGTGTTCTTCATAATTTTATCTAATTTTTCAAAGATTTACTGATTGGCCATAATGTCTTGATTTAAACAGATAACTTTTTAGTGGGTGGCAGCATTTAGCCAGTCTTCGTTAGTTTGGAAAACTAAATATGGCTGGTTCTGGTGAGTACTTGGGAGGTGATCCCCTTAGGAAACCAGTATTTAAGCAGAAGAAAACAATTGTAAACTATATTTTCCTAAAGAAAACTGTGCAGGGATGTCCATATAAGTCATCGGAAGTCGGTCTAAATTGAAATCAACTGTACTAAGGTTGATAGCCAATATTTGCCAAAGTGATTATAACATAATGACTTGATCTTTTAAGTTATTTTGAAATTCTATATTTTTCACTGAACAATAGGTTTAGAATTCAGTAGTAGTCTGTTAAAGTATTTTTGACATCATTCCTTTGAAAAGGAATGGTTGGGTCGAACACACCACACTAGGAACAATTCTGGACTGGTACAACAACTAGTCAGCATCAAAGAGTGTAACAAATGTGGACTTTGGTAGTTATTGAGTAAGTGCTTAGGTGGAAGGGAGAGTTGACCTTTGACATTTTTTGACACTTCTGCTCTAGAGATTATGGTATCATTCAGCTATCACTGTGGAAATAAAAAGCCTCTCTTCTTTAATGCTATGTCAGCACAGCCATCACTGGTTGATGCCACAAATGGCTAATGCTGAAAATATACAGTTCCAGATGTTCTTTGTGGATCTATTCATTTATATTATTATCTGTACCCTTAGGTCTTGAAGGGTAAAAATAAAATCTGGGAGAAGCGTCCATTGATTTTTTTCTATAAAAAAAAACACAACACTTTTCCAATGTATATATCTTCTCACTGTAATGTAATAAGAGGGAGCTACCTATTATAATATCAAGATTATATCATGTTTGCAGTCTGCTACCAGAATCTCTTTAAGTAAGACTGCCATCTAGTGGATTGTTGTTTATTGCAAATATACATATGCCTCTGAAATTTTCTAGGAAAACCAATTTATCACTTGATAGCTCAACAAATACCCAGTTATTTCTAATCCAGCTATCTGAGAACCATGCATAGAATAAGAAAAACTTTATGTCTGCCATGAATTTGTGTTTATTTAGATGAATTCTTGACATGGAATGGCAAACTGACTCTCCTGGGAAAGACATTATAAGCATAACTTCCTCAAATCTTCACTTTTAATTCTACTTCCAGCAAGGGTCCTTTAAAGATACTGGTTTTATTTTTACCTGTATTTCATTCCTGAAAAAGACAGGCCATTCTGAGATTCACTCTTGTATAACATCAGTTCATTAAACATTCCTTGGACAATTTGCAACATCCAACACTTTCATTCAAGTCTTAAGGCAGGTGTCCCCAATCCTGTTCCTTCCAGATATATTCGTCTTCAAACCTGAAAGTCAAATCTAAGCCAATTTGTTGCCTTAAATCTTCAATTACTGTCTTCTTTTCAGACTCTTTTCATCACCAATGCAGCTGCTTTGGTAACACTGTAATTTCCCTCTTTTCCTTTTCCAGTTTAGGTCTGGTCTTACCGAATTACAGCAGATCTTACATCCAAGCTAATCTAAGTGACCAGATTCTCCAGGTGAAGTGTAAGTATATGTTTTTTCTTTTCCTCCTGTCCTTTCACATGCCCTTTGACCCTAAACCCACCAGCTAGCTTAAGGATGATTTACAAGAGAAAGCAAAATGACTAAATGTTAACACTTTTAAAAATGTATCCAATTAAAAACAAATTCCTACCCAGAGAAGAAAAGAAAGTTTCATTTTATTTATGAAAGAATAATGCAGGCTTCCCAGAGATGAAAAGATTTACCAGATCCCTTGCAATGAACTTTTAAAAACATCCAGGGGAGATGAGGTTGAGTTGTTGCTTTATATGCTTTTTATGTGGTAGAGTATAATAGCAGCTGGTTAATTTGAAAACTGGGAAATTTTGCATGTTTCTTTCTGTTTTGTTTAAATTTGTTTTAAGCCATCCTTATTTTTATTTAAAGTTTGAATTTCTTTGCTTGTTTTCTCACTAATTTACAATTAATCTCTGTACTTGTGTGTTTGCTTCCCCTTGTGTGTGATCCTGGGCTCTGCTCTCTCATCAAAGGGTGTGAGGAGCTTCCAAGGGAGTTTTTAACATCCTGTTCTGAGTGATTCTGCCTTTTTCTATCTGTGTCTGTCCCTGTGTCTCTGTAATTCCTCTTCTTTCTCATCTCTCTCTCTCTCCCTTCTCCCACCTTTTGTACTCCATACTCATGCTACGTTACTTAAAATTTCCACCTTCAGGGAGGTTTAAAGGGATGTTATTCCTTAGAATGCGTGCTGAAGTACAACATATTGAAGATTCGCTTATGCAAATAGGTTCCAAAATACTGTACAAGTAGTCCTTGACTTACGACCACAATTGGGAGCAGAATTTCTATTTCCATTTGATAAGTGAGTCATGTCCAATTTTATGATCCTTTTTTTTGCCATGATTGTTAAAGCAAAACATTGCAGTTACGAAGTGAATCATGAAGTGATTAAGTAAATCCGGCTTCCCCCATTGACTTTACTTGATGGAAGTTAGCGTGAAGATAGCAAATGGCAGCTACATGACGCCAGGATGTTGCAACAGTTGTAAGTACATGCTGATTGCCAAGCATCCCAATTTTGATCACATGATTGTAGGGATGCTGTATTGGTTATAAGTGTATGAAGACCAACCAGAAGTCACTTTTTAAATGCCATTGTAACTTCAGTCACTAAACAAATGGTTGTAAGTTAAGGACTACCTGTATATAGGCTGTTCTGACCAAGACTGGATAGAGCTATCAATCACAGAACTGTCTTGCTCCTAAATGGACTGATCCAGCCCTGGAACACATCATTCCAAGTGCTCTGGACTTAGTATATAATATTAATCAGGACCACACCATGTGTTTCTTGAAATAGTTAAAAAAATGGATGGTTTTGCATATCTCTAGTCTGGACGCTGCCCCAACTTGCTGACTTTTAATTAAATTAATTTTAACCCCAGTTGCAGTCCTATTCCAATTTACTTGGGAATATAGAAAATCCTTTCAATAAGAATTTCTTTAGAAAAAGCTATGACACTAAGAAAAAATAATGTGAATCATCTTTCTCCTGCTATTTAAGTTAACACTTCTCTATGGAAAGAAAAAATAAAGGTCATTTAGTTTTAAGTTGGGCTGGTTAAGGGGCTCCTACAAAGATGAGGGGGTCAAACTATTTTCTAAAGCACTAAAAGGCAGGACAAGAGACAATGATTGGAAATTAACCAAGGAGAGAAGTAATCTAGAACTAAGGAGAAATTTCCTAATGTTGAGAACAATCAACCAATGGAAGAGATTGCCTTCAGAAGTTGTGGGTGCTCCCTCACTGGAGGCTTTCAAAAAGAGACTGGACAACCATTTGTCTGAAGTGGTATAGGGTCTCCTGATCGAGCAGGGGGTTGGACTAGAAGTCCTCCAAGGTCCCTTCCAACTCTATTGTTTTATGTTCTATGCTTCCAATGTTTTGTAGGAGCATTTGGTGCAGTATTCACAAATGACTGCTTTGAAAAAAAAAAAGTGCCATCCCCTACCTTCTAGGTGAAAAGTTATGTTATAAAAAAGAATTATAGCAAAGCCTCTTCCCTAGCATGGAAACTTTGTACAAGGGAAGTGTCTACAAATAGACAACTCTCTGGTATAAACTGATAGGAACTTTTGGAAGGATTATAGGAGCAAATGTAAATAAGAATCAGATGAGGTCTCAGGTCTCATCTCAAGCCAAGAGATGATACTTTCCAAAGAGCATCTACTGGGAACAAGCATCTCTCTTTAACACCTAGGACAGAGTTGCTCTGTGCTCTTAAAGGATCCTGCTCTGGTGTGATGTTATATAGGAATGGCCTTGGGAGACAGAAGAGATGTCATTCCACCCGCACCCACCCCCAGTCAGATAAGGATCAGATAAGAGAAATCATAGCTGATAGCTGCTTATTGAGTGGAGAACGAGGTGGAGAATGAGGCTCAGAAAGGACCCACCTCTAAGTTCTCAGGCTACAAAGGAAGCTTGCGAGATTGAAGTCAGCCCTCCCAAGTAGAACATTCAGAAACATGGCCAGAGGAGCTAACTGTACTTTATTGTAAGATTAGATCAACAGGATCTTGCAAGTCTAAAAGTACAAATCTTCCATCATCTCCTTCACAATCTGAAAGCTTGGAGAGACATTCCTTCTGAGCCTCTTCTTCCATTATCTGACTCCTAGTTGACTCTTACCTTCCTCTTATCTGACAGTTCCCATCTTCGCCCTGTCTCCCAACATTGTTCCCAAATACCATTACATCTGCTGGCCACCTCTGCCTTTGTATGTTTTCTCTCTCTCTCTCAAAGGAGATCTTAGGTTGCTACACATTATACAGCTAGTCCTCGACTTCCTATCACAACTGAGCCCAACGTTTCCATTGCTAAGCAAGACGTTAAGTGAGTTTTGCCCCATTGTACGGCCTATCTTGATGCAGTTGTTAAGTGTTAAGTGAATCACTGCAGCTGTTAAGTTAGGAACATGGCTATTAAGTGACTTTGGCTTCCCCGACTGCTTATCAGAAGCTCTCACCTGATCACCTGATCCCAGGACACTGCAATCTTCATCAAAATGAACCAGTTGCCAAATGGCTGGATTTTGATCACGTGATCATGGAGATGCCGCGATGATCATAAGTGTAAAATACGGTCATAAGTCACTTATTTCAGTGCCATTGTAACTTCGAAGAGTCACTAAACAAGTGGTTGTAAGTCGAGGACTACCTGTAGTTGACATTACCACTTGGGTACTTGGTTTTGCTAAGTAGCACCGTATCAGGCTCTGGCTTTCGAGTTTCTGAAACCAACAAATTAGTAGTTAAAATTCAATCATGAAATTAGAGGAAGAGTTTTCTAATTACCCTCACCAGACTAGGTTGGCAGGATTTATGCTTTCTAGGTTCCTTTACCAATTAGCAATAGCAATAGCACTTAGACTTATATACTGCTTCAGTGCTTTACAGCCCTCTCTAAGCAGCTTACAGGGTCAGCATATTTCCCCCCAACAATCTGGATCCTCATTTTACCGACATCAGAAGGATGGAAGGTTGACTCAATCTTGAGCCGGTGAGACTCAAAATGCCGAACTGCTGGTAGCCGGCAGTCACAGAAGTAGCTTGTAGTACTGCATTCTAACTACTGCATCACCACGGCTCTTCATTAAAAACCGACCTGAAATAATACAACCTGGATTTGGTCCTCAATCTCCCTGATTCTAACTGTAGCTACCTTATTTAGTGTCCATCTAACTTAATATTGTCATTGTAGTGCCTGGCAAAAGCTCTGCCAAATTTCAGGCAGAAGCCATTTCCAGTCCTGTCTGAAAATTGTACTTAGTGTCTTTTGCACATGCACAAGTATGTGCTTTCTGCTGTAAAGCTCCAAGCTTTCTCCTAAATGTCACTTTAATGCATAGATCTTTCTCTTCAACAATTTCTGTCACCATTGGGACTGTGTTCTCTCATCAGGAAATTACATGTGTTGTTCGGGCAAGTTTTTTTGTTTTTTAAAATTGGTCATGTTTCATAAACTATGTAATTTCCCCTGTGCCCTATAATGTCAGGCATGGTAAAGACTTCGAGCTTCCTTTGCAGAATAATAACATAAATATAATATAATAAAAGAAAATAATTGCTTTAAAAAAGAAAAGAAAGCTTTTCTGCCACGTAGGGTTGATTCCAAGCTCCTGTCCTATTTTTGCCTTTCACTGAGAATGGCCACAGCTTACCCTTTTGCCAGATGAGCTCAGGCCTGGTCCACTGCCCTGAATTTCTCTCCCTTCGTTTCCTCTCCTTCTGTCTCAATCTCTGTGTGTGTCTTTTGTTAATCTTGAATTTTGCATGGTCTGCTAACTCAGTAAGAACATTTCTAAATCAAGACTGTTGCAAACTGTTTGCTACTGAATTCCATTTTTATGTTGGTTATATAATATATATCTATAGATCGAGTTATATCTATACATTTTTATTATTTTCTTACTGTGGCCTTTTGATTGGTACTTTTATTACTATTATTATTATTATTATTATTATTATTATTTTGGCTTATTTCTTTTTCATGTCGTTTTTTGCAAGAGGTTTCCTTTTGGTATGATTATGATACACAATATTTTTATTCAAACAGCAATTGAATAAAATATTGTTTGTACCCCCTTCCCCCTTTCCACCCAACCCCCTTTTTTGTTTTCTGTTTTTTGTTTGTTTTTCTTGCTTTCTCTCTCTGATGGATTCACACAGTACCAAGCAAATTGAAGGGCAAGTATTTTCAGTCTTAGACCACTCCCCTTCCACCACCCCCTTTTCCTCACCTGTGTCCAGTAACCCCCACCCTCACTCCAGACCTTCACCACTCTCCCTTACCACCACCACCTGGCCTGCTTGCCCATTTCCTTGCCCGTTTGCCACGCCTAACCTTGCGAATCACCACCAAACTTCCCCTCTCCTTTCCCCTCCTGCCCCCCCTTATCCTCTTTCACTCTTTATTTGGAAGCAACATGTCTTGTTATGTTCATAATAGCTTCACCACTACTGATCTCCCCACTCCTACCCTGTGCATTGCTCAGAGATTCAATCCGGTATCGTTAAAGATGAGCCAATTTCATATGGAACTGTTATGTTTGAATTCAATTAAGGTTTTTGTAGCTAGTTTAAAATTCCTGCTCTTCTTCCTCCCTGCAAAAATATCTCTTCCACCCCTTCTGCTTTTTCCTCTCCCCTGCCTCACACCTTTCCTACAAATTTTCTTACCCTGTCCTTGTTCCTATGCTTACCTTTCTCTTCAAGACAACTCAACCTGAATGGAACAGGGCTGTGCAGAAAGGTTCGGAAAGGTTCAGAAAGGTTCGGAAACAGAGACCAATATCACTTCCTCAAGAAAACCTTTAAGCTCCTCCAAAGGGAGAGGAGCAGAAGCAGAACATCTCGAGACGAGTCCACATTGCTCACAGGCCAGAATTTTTGAAGCCAAAGTACCGTAATCCCCACAAAATGGGCATCAGCATCATTAGCAGAAATCTTCAAAAGATATTTCTGCTATTTATTATCTCCAACTTACTATCTTTATTCTTTTACTTTATTATCACAAACTATTGTCACAATCAAAGATGGGATGTAGTCGAAAGATCGGGTGTGAACATTCAGTCTACTCAGTTCTCCTACTCATAAAATTATTGAGGCAATGGTTTCGAAACTCATAGGATGGATCGTTGTCAGTGCGCTGGCCTCCTCCTTTTCTTATACATCAAACATTGCAATAGCACTTTAGTTCAAATACTGTCTAGAGGTTGCATACAGTACGGTATATAGCACTTAGCATTAGCACATAGACCACTTTGCAGAATTTTCTAAGAGGTTTACAAATATCAGCATATTGCCCCCCAAAATTTGGGTCCTCATTTTACTGACCTTGGAAGGATGGAAGGATGAGCCAACCTTGAGATGGTCAAGATCGAACTCCAAGCTGTGGGCAGAGTTTGCCTGTAATACTGCATACTAACCACTGCGCCACCATGGCTCTTATATACATGTATCTGATTTAAAAGAGAGAGAGAGAGAGAGAGAGATGTTATATTTTATAAAATAGCTAATTTAAATAATATACTTTACATATTAAGGGCCTCTGTTATGAAAAGAGTGTATTATAGAAGTTGTACCTATAGAACCAGCTGTGACAGGAGAAGAAGGGGGAGTGAATTTTTAAAGCCCATTCAGTAGTAAAAGCAAAACTATGAGGTGAGGAATATAGCAGCATTAAACAATCTATTTTATACGAAAACAATGTTTGGAACATTTATTTCATCAAAGTAAAGAAATAAAAGGAATAAAATATTGCACATTTTTTGGTTACTTCCATAATTCAAGATCTCCAGGGTCGGTACCCATATAAAAGTGAGATGTATGGCTTGAAATGGCATTTAATTAACACAAAATGCCAGAAAGGCCCAAAGGGATGCTTCTTATTAGACTGTGACCAATTCCATACAAAAAGACACGAAGCTGAAATGCCTTACAATAAATATACGGTTCTCTTTTGACTGAAATTTCCCCTAGATACAAGCATACCTACAATCATGAGTGAAATTTCCTAGGTTCTATTAGGAATTAGCTTATAGTTTTGCAGAATTTCATGAGCTTAAGCAAGAGTCAGATCTATGGAAGTTCAGCACATTGGTTGGAAATTCTAAGAGCTGCTAACTCCTAATAAAGCTGGATAGTGCTCATATTGGGAAGCCCAACTTAAGTACTTGGCAGAGGAAATTGTGCAGGCAGATAGGAAAGATACATCATGCAAAAAGAAACTGAGAAGAGACCCAGTCAAAATACACAGCTGCAGACTGCCACACTAAGACATTATCAGTGACTAGATCTCAAGCACAAGAATCCTCAGCCCTGTTCTATCAGCAATGAGCTGCCTGCTCCTGACCCTGTATTGGCAATGCTGATGAAAATAATTACTTAGTGTTTTGTATTCCTTTCCTCTTCCTCCTTTCATTGGCTTGTTTCCAGACCCTGCCTTATAGTCCTGTTCGAAAACAGCAGTCCAACCTATGGCTGTGCTGCCCTCACAAAGGGCCACATACATCTTGCAATGCATTGTGGGAGACATGGGGGGAAGGGTTTTGAGGGTTTCACAGTCCATCTGTTTATACTGATAGATTTTGAAGTGCATTTTGTAGCTAATTGAAAAATACAAGTCTTGTGAACTTGATTGATCCAATATGAAAAGTGAATAGTTATCTTTCAGGGGAAAGCCTGCAACAGCTATCCCTCCCTACTTCTTTCTTTCTTTCTTTCTTTCTTTCTTTCTTTCTTTCTTTCTTTC